TCACCCATGAAGGCTTCACCATCAGTGGAATCCTTGACGTTCAGTTGTAGAATTTGTGCCATTGCTGCAGAAAAAGCTGTGGAAAGGAACTCACTAAGAGCAATGGGGATCTTGTCTGTTGAATGACTCTCTATGATAATGCAAGTTGAAGTTTAGCAGCTTTATCATGGGACTTGACTCTAAAAGTCACAGCAGCCCAGCACCGTATATCTAGATTTAACTTCAGCAAAGATCAATACACACCTTTTTTTCTTTGCTATCCTGTTGGTTGAAAATTATCAGAATGCCATCGATCGGTTGTGGACTTTCTCTCTGATATGGACGTAAACTTTCCTGGTTAACAGCGAAAGGTTGTACTAAGGACAGATTAAGCCGTGTGATTTTTGGCAGCCAATGTTTATTCCTTTGAGTCCATTTCCTTGGTTTCCGTTTGTCAGTGTTGCACATTTTTTAGCGTGTTCATATACTGCCAGAACACAAGTGATGATTTATAAAAGTTACAGGAAAGGGAAATGTTTCCGTTGCCCTTAGCAGCCTCTCCAATTTTCAAGTGGACCTGTGACCAGACTATAGACATTCATGTATTTTATTTTTGGTTTTTTTTTCAATACAATTTTTAATTAGCTTTGCGTCTGAAATTGTAGAGCTAAGGAGTTGTGTCAGTGGCACCGGTTTGAGATGCTTTTGAGATCATTCGGAATTAATTGACAGGCGAATCTAACCAGCAGTAGAGCAGCAACTGACCTGCTTCAAGCGGATTTAGCATTTCTATAGATTTGTATGGGAAGCAAAATGAGATTAGCATTGTCACTTCTGCTGATTCACAAGTCTTGTCTATCAGCACCTGGTTATACCTAGTCCTGTCCACTCCATACTGGGTTGTCCGAGTTAAACCCTCCCACTATGAGCTGCAGTGTCTGGGTGGGAAGCATGTGATGCACGCGGAGGATTTGGCTCCGTTTTATTTGTTTGCTTTATGAGATTTTTTTGCATCGCATATTAACTGGATTTGGAATTTGCTTAGACTGCCATGCAGGAGCCTTTAGGAGCTCCATTCACTGATAGCGGTAGCATTTTCCACACTAAAAACCACGCGGAAAGAAATCCTGCAAATGTTAACAAACGCACAGATTCTGCACGTTTGTGGCTATTGCTATAGCCGGAACGTGCGGAATCCAGCATTAAAATCGCGCTTGAACTATATTGCGGGACGCGTGGTTTTGTACCGCACAGCAGCCGCAATAGTCTGAATAATTCACATTGCAATGCATTGTTTTTTTAATGTTTAGCGCAGTTGCGCACATATTCGTACGGCTGAATACACGCGGAAAACCACTCGTGTGAATGGAGCCTTACTTTTACTATCCAGCTCTAACCCACTTACTCTTTTTATTTATAAATACAGTAGTGAATTGTTAGACCATCAGCAGGATTGGAACTGAGGGGTAGTCTCTTCAATGGAGAAACAGACAGCACTAAAGTAATTTTCAGTATCATAGGGAAGGCTTAGAACCTCTGTTGGGTTTTTACTGCTGAGTATGTGTCTGTTAGGGAGATTTAGTTTTACTTCAAGTATATTTACTTTGGCATTCAGAAAATATATAATGTTGGGGGGTTTTACGTCATTTTCAGGCCTAAAATGTGGAATATAACATGGGTGCAAAAATTGAAAAAAGGGCCTCAGTCATGAAGGGGTTAAGTGTTCTATGAATAGAGGAAAGTTATGCTCCCTGGGATATGTGACATCACATAGCCCAAGAAGCATTACTTTCCTCCATTCATAGAACTTGTAAACAGACAGTGCCCGATCTCTGTGCATGTGCGAGATCTGGCGCCACCTCTGTTCACATGTTCCACGAATAGAGGAAAGTAATGCTTCCTGGGATATGGGATGTCACATACTACAGTAGCCATTGCTTTCCTCCATTCATAGAACTTGTTAACAGACACGGCATCCAATCTCTGCGCATGTGCGAGGCCGCCTCTGTTTCCCTATTCCATGAATAGAAGAAAGTAATGCTTCCTGGGATATGTGATATCACAGTAGACGTTACTTTGATCCACTCATAGAACTTGTAAACACACACGGTGCCCGATCTCTGCGCATGTGCGAGATCTGGCGCCGCCTTACTAATAAAAAAACATGGCACAGGTTCCAAACCTTTCTTGGTCTATTTAAAGCTAAAAAAAATGCAGGCATTCCTCTTGCTCATATTGCAGGCAGCCTGTCGTTTGGAATATGGCATCCTTGTTAAAGTCCTAACATTTACTGTACTTAGAGTTTTATTCATGATCAAATGCATGCATGCAGTGATGTATGTTGTAGGGTGAGCCAAGGTTGGAGGCTTGCAGTGTTTCTTATTACAACAAGGGAAATGATCTATTTTTATAATCGATTAGTTGGCCGATAATTTTTTTGATTAATCGGATAAAAAAAATGAAATGAATACCATTCTTAATTTAAAATGAAAAACACAAATGCAGTGTTACAAACATAAAGTTTACATCAGAATAAAACTGCATGCACAATTGTTTGCAATTGGATTGGAATGCACGGCATTGCGGTGCCGTGCGGGCGATCACACTGTGGGTGGGAGGCATTTTTAGGGTGCCATTGAAATGAATGGCACTGCAACGCACCTCCCGTAGCAGAATTTGTCAGGACAAAACCGAAAATTACTTTTTTTTTTT